TTTTTGTTGCTTCTGGTATGCAATATTTCGATGCATCCATCGAAAAAATATCGATGAATTTCTTGACTTGCATCGCTAAGATAAATGTGGTGCCACATACAGTGATGCCAAATATAGTCAAAAAGAAGTATGTAACAGAGTTGCTTTTTGGCAAGTAAAGACGAAATAAAATTTTTTCCTTTAGAAAAATTCGATTTGATCCGTATTTCAGCACCACAAATTTTGATATCAAAAATTTACCTCTTAGCAGCTAAAACTCGAAACTCGAAGTTTCGAATATCGAATTTACCCATCCCTCATGCTGGGCCCTTTTGCTGAATTGTTAAGCCTTTCGTTTGCTGGTTTTATAGCTGAACCATATTGTTGGGCGAAGTGTTTATTGACACTTGGAGTTAATACGCTGATTGCATCACCCAGTGAAAAGCAGTAAGCTTGTTAATCTATAGCCACCATATACATACATACACATATACATATATGTATAGCCACCGTATCTAGACCAGTGCATTTAAACGATTGCAGTGCAGAAAATAACAGTGTAAAACTGTTTAACGGTGAACCATAAACTTTTAGGATCATAAAACGGGCCTGAACCCCTTCTATCAGAGTACACTGCATAAAAATCTCGTCGCATTTACAAGACCACTAAATAATCAAAACAACAACAAATAATTTGGCATCTTAAAATTATTTAAATTGCAAAAACAATGTATGCTATTTCTTATTTTTTGCAAAAATTTTAAAGCAAATTTTTTATTTATTTTATATATACAAAAACACCAAGCCGGTAGTAATTATATAATTTACAAACCTATCCCATACATTTGTTTACAATCAATAAAACTGAACGTGATAGCAATAAATTAGACATTAGAATAAGCAAACCTATAAAAAAAAAGATGTATTATTTACGGCAACGTGATGACGAATGGAAAATATCAGACATCGTACGGATTGATAAACCGTATTATAAAATTTGATAATTTTTTTCTCTGCTCTATCAAAGTAATTTATAGTGTTTTTTTTGCATTGCAGTACAGCGTTTAATTGGCCACTGCGTGTAAAATTTCACCGCCATTTGTTCTATGATTTGGTTTTTTTAACTAGGCATAATCAAAACGTCAATAAAAAATGTTCTTATATTTAGCAAAAATGCATGACCAAGTAATTTTGCTTGCGATAAGGTAGCATAACTAATTGCTCGCAAATTTATTTTACAATACTTAAAAAGTAATATTTTTCTGCGATATGCGAATGTTCATATGTCGAATTAAATTAAGGCTGTAGAGGCTAATATTAGTATTGATTAACAAGGAAAAAGATACATCAGACGATGAAAAGTGAAGCGAAAGAAGTGAGTACAAAGAGCATCAGATGATAGCAGGCAGGAATGCGACACGATTCGAACACTGTTTCTCTCAGTGATGAAAGTATAAATCTGGTGTCAGACATTGCAATCTTAAAGATACATATATGTGTAGGAAATACTTTTCAGCAGTTTTGATCGCTAAACCAAGGAACCCAAATCAAGCTCTCGACGACGAGGTTGAAACAAAAATAATTACGACTTACTTGAAACTTTTAGGACCAAACTCATGACTTGAATTGTAAAATGGGATTAACCGTGATATTAGTAGATAAATAAATTCTTTTATAAAAAACTCAATTTAGAATATAATTTGCCCTAAAGAATTTCATTAATTTTAACTCAAAACTTTTGTATTCCAAAACAATTTTCATTTATATCATCAATAATTTTTTCGAAAAAATTGTTTTGTTGAGTTTTTAAGCAACTTTATATATTTTTAATATTTTCCCAAACATTGTTTTCCCCAAAGAAATAATTTTTTTCATACATAAGGGTGGGTATATTTTTTATAATTCTGGCGAGCATTTAATTTTTTATTTTTACCTACATTATTTTTGCGTGAATAATTAGTACCCTACCGTTAATATTAAACAATTATTTATTTTAAAATTTTTATTTACAAAAATATAAAATTTTTTCCAAAACATAGGTAATTTTTGCTGCGATTTTTTGTTTATTTCCCTAAAAAACTGTTCAGTTAATTATATATTTTCATGAAAATTATTCTTACCCAAAATAGATTCTTAAATAACTATGTTTTGGTAAATATTTTTATAATTTTGATAACTTTTTTTCTAAAATTTATTAACAAATTGAAGTAAAAAGAATTGAATAAATGAATACGCGGCACAATCCAAGAAAAGAAAATTTAAAGCTACTAAAATAGCAAGACCCCAAAGGGGTTAAATCTAAAAACGTGTAAACTTCTAATTTACCTCCACAAACAAAACATACAATAAGTACAGGCATCCTCACTGGACACTGTCGATTAGAGAACATCTGCACAAGCTGGGAATCTGGTCAACAGATCTCTTTCCTCTCTGCGATTCACCATCTCACCTGCTTCTGGAGTGTGATGCCGTAGCGAGTCGAAAAATTAACGGCGTAGGCTCAATGTGGCCTGAGAGAGAGCACGTATGTATACTCCCTACACCTCTTTCAAATATCTATCTACCTAATATATTTTCGAAGAATATATATGAAAATTCTGCAACTAACTTTAGAGTCGACTTTATTTCGACTATGAATATGCCTCAGTATTTTTAATATATATATATTTTTTTTTAATATGATAACCCTACTGCCTTCAATTAGCAGAATAAAAATAGGACCGGTTTTTGTTTAGCATTAATTCGCTCAAATAAAATTTCTGTTTTGAAGATCATCTCAAAAATATGTCAATAATGTGTCTAATTAACACATTCACTCAACTCTATTGAAGATACATTTATGAACATTAGGGTGGCTCGCAATATTTCGGTAGTTCAATAATTTACATACGTTAAGTTGCAAAAGGTTGTGTAATTCTACTTTTCTTAGGAAACGTAAAGGAATCGATATATCCAAAACACTAAATCTCAGTTACGAAAAATAAAAAAGTAAACTAAAAACGCAGATTTGTCATAATTGAGCTGAAACAACTTAAATACACTATATTAAGCGAGATATAAAGCCCGCTGATTCCAAAAATTCTGAAATTCATCTTTAAGTATAGGACCGCAACGACTCAGACAATCCGTCTCGACAACATTCACGCTATTCTGCTTTGACCGTATGACTTTCCTCTGATTTTGCCCTGTTGTACTGGGGTATACACTCTCTATTATTTAAAAAAAATGCTTGCGTATTAATTGGTGTCCTCCAAACTACTAATATTACTCCATGAAATAACTAAAAACGGCAGTAACGCAAAATTTGCTTAATTTCACTTTTACATGGGAAATAAGATCAAAATCTGATTTTTGCTTTATTTCCGACAAAGTTTGGGGGGACTTTTAGTGGGTTAAAGTGTCAGACTGGCGGTTTTTTGGGGTAAGGATTTCGATGCTTCCTCCTCTGAAAGAAGAACCATCGTGGAACCTTAGCAAACGTGGCGTCTAGTAAGTAATTATTCTCAGTTATACAAACTTATATTGTAATATTACGTCGCCTATAGGCGTTGACAAGAAAATAATGTAGGCAAAGCCAACTTCTATGGCAGTGTTTTGATAAAAAATGCCTTTTAACATTACCCTTGCTCATTCCAAATTCTTTTGGTTTGTAAAGTTACATGAGGGATTTGGAATGTTGTCACTCTTTATATAGTGACATTACACCAAATAAAAAAATTTTGCTTCTGTCACTACACAAAGAGTGACATAATACAGACTTTTAAAATTGCAGCTATGCCACTTTGAACTATGTCACTGAACCGAGGACTTTATAGTAGCGCTTTAAAATTTCTAAAAAATGTTTTATAAGAGCCACCCTAATGAATGTTGAGTATATTATACGTACATATGTAGATATGTATGTACATATGAGTTTGCCTCAATCAGCGAATCCCCATATAATGTCAGTATTATTAGAATCAGCTTTGACCTTCTCAACTCGCATGCATTCAAATAAATTAATGATCAAGTTTAATGAATAGAAAATTTCTATGAAGTGTAACTTGTTTAATTATTCACATTATCAGCAAGTTGATGTACTATAAACTACCCTAACGAAAGCCGGAAAATTACCGCTTGAAAATAATTGCAAGTATATAGATTAGTTTTACAAGTGAATGTTTACAAAAATATTTCATTTTCAGTTGCGCATGTCTTCTCAGTAAGCAATGCAAAGCACAGATTATCACGCAGCAAGTCAATCGGCCAGTTAATCAGTAGCTTAGTCACTTAGTGACCGCATATATTGAAATATATGTATGTATGTATATACCTACTTGTGGCATTAAGCGACAGTTCATCACGTTCAAGCAATGTATTCCTTTAATTGCCACAATCGTAGAAGTGGCTTGGCGTTCTGAGTAGAAGCTGGAGCTCGCCTTTGCGCTGCGCTGCGCAATTTGCTTGAATTGCGATAAAGTACTTCGGCTTTTGATTATACAAACCGGACTTGTGTTTGGTTGATAGGTTTTCAATTGCAAAATATTTATTTTAAGCAAAGTATTTTATTTGCGTAGATATTCTCGCTGACGTAGGCAAAATAAAGAAACGGTAAGAAAACACTATGTAAATATTTACTTAAAAAATTTAATAAATGGATAAGTAAAGAACCTAGATTGCATAGAACCCCAGCATTATATTTATGCTCGCGGGAACAAGCACCCGCCCCCCCGCCCCCCCTCAATTATGCCGCTACTATAAACAAATACATATTTTCTCGGCGGTCAGCAGTTCATAATTCCAAGCAGATTACACTTGGCAGACACCCGGATAGAAAAAATCTTTATTGACAGCTGCACGCTTATCAGTTGACGGCAGAAGTTCGCTCCGGGTTCATTTGAACTTTAGAGTACGCAGGCAGGCAGGCATTGGCATACATTTTTATATCAAGCAGAAGAATTTTAATGCGCAAACATGTTGTTTTTCCATTAAAACAGTTTTCTATATTTTGCTGACTGTTTTTCTTTGTTTTTTCATTACAGTTATGTTAAATTCAAAACCAAGCAAAAGCGCATGCGCACAAATGAAAAAGTCATCACCGATACAGTTTATGGTAAAGTGAAGGGCGTAAAATGGCATTCCATATATGGTGGCTCTTACTACAGCTTCGAGGGTATACCATTTGCTAAGCCGCCAATTGGCCATTTACGATTTAGAGCGCCAGAAGAGCCAGAGCCTTGGACAGATGTACGCCGTTGCACGCGCGAACACCCGAAGCCATGTCAACACAATATCATACTGAAGCAAGTGCAGGGGCGAGAGGATTGTCTTTACTTGAATGTCTTCACTAAAGAAGTGAGTTTGTTTTTGTTTTTTTTTTTTGAGTATAATAATTCTTTAATATATGTTTCAGCTTACAGATGAGTTTTGTATAACCTTTCCTTTTGTATTTGCAGTTGCATCCCCAAAAACCCTTACCGGTGTTGGTTTGGATCTACGGTGGTGGTTTTCAAATGGGTGAAGCCTCTCGCGACATGTACAGTCCGGATTACTTTATGATGGAAAATGTTGTTTTAATTACAATCACTTATCGACTGGGTCCTTTGGGTAAGTAATTATCTAGAAAAAAATTATTTAGTAGACTTTAAAATAACTGAGTTAGCAACAATAACTATCGAAATAATTCCGCACGCTCGGAAAATGCATATTTAAAATTCTTAGCTTAGTTAGCAATGAAAACGAAAATTTAGTCGGTGTTTGGTAAAAAAAAATGTCTTAAGTTATTTTGCATGCAATTGAAGATATGATTTTAAGCTTATAAGGAAACATATAAATTATAAATAATTTTTTCTCGACTGGAACAAATGGTAGTCTGGTGGTCATAAAGCGGTCGGCTTAGGACTTCTCATTCGGTACCAACGAGATAAGTTTTGACCGCTTGTGTGAGATACTCGGTCGGAATTTTCATTGTAGAAAATTAATGACTCAGCACGGGTCTTTGTCCAAAATTGCCTTCAATTCGCTGTCTATAAACGTTGTCGTTAAAGCGGTTTTTGACGGTAGGATCGGAATTACCACTTTTAAAATGTCGGGCGAGTACTAACTAGTTGAAAATAATAGCGTTCAAATCTTTTAGAATATTGTAAGGTATGTCGTAGGGAATGTAAGATATGATTTGCAAAATTCGCGGGACAGTCAATTTGGGACCTCAACCAAAAAATACGGCAAATATAGTAAAGGAGTAGGCACTCAAAATGTTTCCTTTTTTAGAAAAAAACACTTCCGAGCTTCGTCTCTTTAAAATAATGGCCACCATATTTACCAGACATAAATCTTATAGATTTTCACACAAAGTCCATTCTCGAGGCCAAAGTATCAACTATCAATGCAGCCTATGAAGCATTCCCAGACAGACGCGATGTTATTATCCGCGCTAAAGGCGGCTACATCGTAGAGAAGACGAACCCAAGCCCCCAAGCGATGACGATGGAGTCAATGTCCCTCCGCCTGTATATGATAAGGCACGAGTAGCGATTACGCGGCTGAAAAACAACAAAGCTGCTGGAGCTGATGGCCTGCCAGCCGAGCTACTCAAGCATGGCGGCGAGAAGCTGATAAGGTGTATGCATTAACTTCTATTATGTAGAATATGATCAGATGAACGCATGCCCGACGAATCGAATTTAAGTGTGAATAGGATAGACTTGCACCATCTTATCTTCGATTTCAAAGCCGCTTTCAACAGCACGAAAAGAAGTTGCCCAGGCACTATACTTTACAATTACTGGCATAGCCGACGGCATCGACATTATTGGTCAAAAATAATGGCTAGGTCAGTTCTGCCTTCTCAGAAATAGATAGAGAAGTTAAGCGAATGCGTCTGGTAGTTAACGAGAACAAGAGAACAACACGAAGTACATTCCACCTTTCTTAATTGGTAGCAGATTTTTGTTTTAGACGACCTGTAGTAAACATCATGGCTTAAAAATTTTGACAGATATTTTAATCCTCTAACTGCCACTTTTTTAATTTGCGCCAGGTAGTAAAGGTGGATGGGTTAAAGTGTTTTATAAAAATATTAGATATTAATACAGAAGAGTGTTTAGAATTAAATATTTCATAAAAGAGAATCTAACTATTTACCACTTTCTTCACGTTTTAGGCTTCCTCGTCCTCGATGACCCCGAGTTGGATGTGCCCGGCAATGCCGGTCTCAAGGATCAAGTGATGGCACTACGTTGGGTGAAGCAAAACTGCCATTTCTTTGGTGGTGATGCCGACAATATAACAGTGTTTGGCGAAAGTGCAGGCGCTGCCTCAGCACACTACATGATGCTTACTGAACAAACGCGTGGCCTTTTTCACAAATGTGTACTCATGTCCGGCACTGCCCTAGCACCGTGGGCAAATGTACCACAACACAATTGGGCTTATCGTTTGGCTAAAGCTACTGGCTATCGTGGCGAAAATGTTGACAGCCAAGTATTGCAGCACCTGCAACACTGCAAGGCTAGCACTATGGTGAAAGTGTGTGAAGGCCTACTCACCACAGATGAGCGTCATCAACGACTGATGTTCAGTTTCGGTCCGACCGTGGAGGCATATAAGAGCAAACATTGTGTTTTACCACAATCGCCTGTGGAAATGATGCGTACCGCTTGGGGTAATGCGATACCATTGCTCATTGGTGGTAACAGTTCAGAGGGATTGCTAATGTTTAGCGAGGCACGTAAATATCCAGATTTAATGACAAAATTAAGTGAGGACGCAACATATTTGGTGCCGGATGATGCGAATGTGAGTGCGGATAAGCGAAGTGAATATGGAGAACGGCTGATGAGATTGCATTTTGGTGATAGTCAACCTAGTTGGGAAACGGTGTTGCAGTATGCGGATGTGAGTATAAGTATAAGTATGTTCGTAAACATATTTATGCGCTTAGTATAGTTGGCTAAAATCTTTTTTGAAAATAATTTACTAATCGAAAAATGTTAAAATTTTAAAATCGGAAAAGATATTTTAATACTATCAAACGGGAAACTCGTAGGTATATATTTTTACGGTAGTCGCTGTGGCTGAGCAGTTAGAGGTGCGTACTACCAATCTCAAGGACCTGCGTTTGACGATATCTAAATTAGAAAAACATTTTTCTCACTGCGTTCACAGGCAATGGCGCATCTCCGAATGTATTTATGAAAATCAAAATTAATAGTGATAGGCAAAATTTCGGGGTTACTTCGCCATTTTTGGGACTATTTCAGAATTTGCGATATTCTAGTAACTTTTTGGGGTTTTTTGAGACTACTTCGATGTATTCGGGATTTTCGGGATTCTCCTTACTATTTTTCGATTCTTTGGCATATTTCGGATTTTCGACACTACTTCGGGATTTTAAAGGACCTTTGGGAATATTTCGAGACTGAGACTATTTGGGGACTATTTCGGGATTTCCAAGAGTACACAAGGTTTCTATAAGTTTTGGGGTTCTCGGCACTACTTCGGGATTTTCCAGACTGCTTCGAGGTTTTTGGGATCTAGGAACTATTTCATTTTTTAAATATTGATAAATATATCGATAACAATTTCGATTATTACAACGATAACAATATCAATAAATATATCTAAAAAATACCGATAAATATATCGATAAATATAACGATTTAAAAGTTCATAAATTTATCGATATAAATATGTTAAACGAATAGTTCTCAAAACCATGAAATAGTCTCGGAAATATTTAAGTAGTCTCGAAAATCAGGAAATAGTCCTGATAATCTCAAAATAGTCCTAAGAATCTCGAAGTTAAAGGAGGTGAATTGAGGCGTGGTGAGTTTAGATGAGGTATGGTGAGTTTAGATGAGGTGTGGTGATAACGTGTGTGATGAGTTCAGTATTGGTGAATTTAGGTATGGTGGAGTCCGTGAGTTTAAAAGAGGTGTGGGGAGTTTGTGTGTGGTGAGTTGATTTGATGTGAGATGAAGTGAGTTTTGCTACTAAATACATTCTGTATTTGCAATAATAAAGTCTTAAAACTGCACATTTCTGCTTTTTTGACTTTCAGAGTCCGTAAGTATATAAATTTTTAAGTCTAGTCAATTAACACCAGGGCAATTTTTTAGAGAAATATGCTTAGAAAAATTTTTATCCTGGACGGTTTAAAAGTTATATCGTTTTTAAAGAAAAAAACATTATTTTTTAATATTATTTACATGGAAAATTTGTAATGCCCACGGACACCTTTTAAAATTGGAACACACATTCCGATTGCGAGAATTTTCTTCTCAGTAAATAGGCCCTTTTAAGGCCATAAATTCGTTAGGCTAATTTATTTGGATCACCCATTTTATTTAACACCTTTTCTCCGTTCTTCTTTCTCACTCAATTCCAATTGTTTACGATACTAAATTAATTTAAAAATTATCCACTAACATTCCAGATCTTCTCCTACAAATACTTTTGGCATGGCATTCAACGTACGTTACTCTCCCGCCTACACCACTCCAATGCGCCTACTTACCTCTATCGTTTCGATTTCGATTCCAAACACTTCAATTTTATGCGCATCATCACCTGTGGTCGCAACGTACGCGGCACCTGTCACGCCGACGATCTCTCCTATCTATTCTACAATGCGGGCGCCAAGAAACTAAAGCAACGCAGTGCCGAATTTCGCACCATACGTCGATTGACCACAATGCTGGTGCATTTTGCCGAATGCGGTAATCCTAATATACCTATGAATGAAGGCCATGACCATAGCTACCATTATCACCACCACCATCGGCAACAGTCGTCGCAAAAACAACAACAACAACAAGAACCAAAACAACCACTTCCCTTAAACAACCAAAACGGTAACAGTAATGCTAAACAAAATGGTGGCCAAGAGGAGGGAGACGTTGCAGGGCAGGAAGCTGGCGCACAGCAATATAGCCGGCAGAGTAGTTATGATGATAGTGTGAGCGATGGTGTAGAGTTGGCGTTGGAGGTGAACGGAGCATTGGTGGAAGGTGAAATGCCAGCGCAACAACTATGGCTGCCAGTTTCACGCGATGCGGATGTATTCAAATGTTTGAATATCTCCGATGAATTGGAGGTGATAGATCTGCCCGAAGCAGATAAATTGCGTGTATGGGATGAAGTGTACACAGACAGAGCGCTACTGTATTGAGTGAGCGCATATACAGAGGTAGATATGAGTATATGATTGAAGTTTTGGTTAGCCTGCTCATTTGCTAGGTGAGTGATTGGATGAGGGGTAACACTACAGCAGTTGACGCGGTTCAGCACAAAGTGTAGTGTAATTAGAGTTAGGGTTTTTGGTACGAGCGTTGTGTTGTGACGAAAAGTGTAACTTTTGCAAGTGATATTTACCGAGTATGCACAGGATGCAGAGCAATTTAAAAACTTTAATAGCACAAGTTAAGCTGCTATGAATATTCCACACTTTACTTTTTATTGCATGTTAGGCGGAGAAAATATTTACATTGTACATTCTTATGTACTATATGCATAAATAATACAGCTGATTCAATACACATTTTTATATCTGTAATTTTGTGCTGAAAGCAAAGCATATTTTAGTAGATAGTTGTTAAGTATTTTGTAAGCCATAAAAAATTAAATTTTTTATTTTGTATTGTATGTATGCTACACATATTGTTTGACGATATACGCATAAAAGTTATAACAATATTTTAATAAAAGTCTAAATTAAGAATAAACAATTTGTTTTGGATTCAATTTTACATGCAAGCCAAAGCGAAAAGTCCTGTGTGACCTTGTAACAAAGATCGAGGTGGATTGCAAGCAGGTGAGTACACAACGGGGGTATTTGCTGTTATTGAGGAGGCGTTTGACAACGCTACCTTTAAATCTATGTGCTCTGCGGTCAGAAGACACGGAGTGGACCAAACCAACATAAGTTAAATTCACTTCATGTTATCTAAAAAAATTTCTGACTGTGGGGGATGAAGCTAGCTAACCTTTGTATTATGGCAGAGGTTGGCAGAGAATGTCCTCAGAGCAGGGTGGTCTCAACCTTTCAGTGTTTAGAGGCGTAGGCCTTAGGCTTTGCCACCTCTGGATTTAACGATCAAAGAGGAGGCAATGAAACCGAAGTGCCTCCTGCACTCTTTCGGCCTGTGGTATGACGATCGGAGTTCCAGGAACAGAGAGTTGTTCAGAAGGTGGTCAGTCTCTTTTGAAAGAAATTATGTCTTTTGACTTCCTACAAGGAAAGAATAGAGAGGTCCAGACACTCTCTTGGACAGGCCGGATAATTGGCGAAAGGTGTTGCGGACATAAAATCAGAATATGCAGCGACAGCCAAGCTGCTCCAAAGATCTTCTAAACCTGCGTGCTCCTCTTCAAAGAGAGTCGAGAAATGTAAGATGAGGCTGAACTCCGTTACAAGGCTGAATGAGCTTGAACTTTCGTAATAGTAATCAATTGGCGAACTGCGGTTCTTTGGAGCGTCCAATTGGACCAGAGTTAAGCTTCGCGGGAACGATCGGGTACATAAAGGATCTCATAAACAAAACTCATGAGAGCCGTTAGTGCGGTATTGGCACATTGCCAAAAAGGGTGGTCGCAAAATTCTTTTACGTAAAGCCAGCTATTCCATCGTTTTCGGCGTTAAATTGTGGTTTAGCAACCACATTGTGTTTCTGCATAAAAATTATACCTTAGTTATAGAAACACGAAATTTCAAATTTGTAAAAATTTTAAATTTAAGTTTTTCAAGCCCATCTTGGAGCAGGCGCCTTTTTTAACAAATATACGAGTTATCACGGCTTATCGGAGATGGAAAACTTTTTTTTTTTTTTTTTGAAACAGTCTAGTGTACATATGTATGTATTTATATCAAACTTTCAAGACAGCTTTTGCCCTGATGTCATTATTTCGCATGTAGATGTCGCAATAGTCGGGGTTTGCGTCTTGTATGGAAGAAACATCGTTTCAATCTTTTGATCGTGTAAGTGAAAGAAAAAACTGCAATACCTACATTAAAATACGTATGTATTATTTTTTGTATGTAAATAAGTAGATATGTATGTAAAAAAGTATGTATTGGAGAATAATTTCATGAAATTTAGTGCAAAATCGGCGCATTTCATCGTCGAAATCGGGAAAACTCAAAAATGGGTTAGCTACGCTGGTGAGCAGTATTATGTGTGCTGAGCTAAAAAGTAACTAAAAAACAAAACAAAAATAGCACCGTGAGGTTGTTTTAGTTCCTTAATAATTAAATTGTCTACATTCAGTATAAACTAAAATATTTTGATAGACGTACTATATATTGGCGCAATAATTACGCGATATATAAATTGCTTTAATATTTCGATGAGTTTTCTAATGGTGATTTTGTTGCTACCAAAAAATGTTGCCTTTCTAAGGTGCAACCCTGTAAAAATGCTTATTTTGTCTAGCTCAAGCATTTCACAATACTGTTATTTTAAGCAACCATCAAAATGAAATTTAAAGCTGGATTGGCAAAAACTATGTATATTTGCGAATAAAATTAAGTTAAAATACACTTTTAAATAAATCAAGCAGTGATAAGTTCTTTAACCTCAGATACCGTTAAAACTATTTACACGTTCAACGAAGGTAAAAGGCCACAGGTCCTTTCATTACACTGTGAGACAAATGGTAGGGGTCAGTGATCGGGAAGGTCTCAAACTACCGGGGAAAGTTATATCGGTAAAAAACAAGTTATACGTGTCCCGGCGTTTCGCTGGGTCACGTCTAGG